CGACATCATGATGGAGATTTGTAAGAAGTCTTATACTCTGTCAGCCTGTCGAGCTAACAACTTTTAAAATGATTGTTTTCTGAATGGAGTTTGGTGGATCAGGGCTATGCCAACTGTGAGCTCTTACCACGACCTGAGCAGCTTCCTGTAGAGCTCTCGCCCTCTGACTCGGCTTCCGAACCCTCTTTCCTTCCTGGATCACACATGTAACCGTCCCGCCCACTGATGCCTCACCTGCCCCACCCACTGATGCCCCACCTGCCCCACCCACTGTCCCATCTGCCCTGCCCACACATCGCTCATCCTGACTGCTCCCCCTCCCTCGTTTCTTCCCACTGGCTGGGGCCCTGGGAGTCTTTTTGGGGGCAGGGACAGATTTTCGCTGCCTGGGCTTTGTCTGTTTGGGGGCGGGGCTTGATTGACTGGGGGCAGGGGCAGGATTTAAAAAGCTGTAGTCATGTTCTTTGTGAAAAGGAGCAGGTAAGACTGAAGCGGAGGGTTCAGTGCGCTGATTGGTTGGTAAGGAGGAGGGTGGGGTTAAACTATCAGAGCAGGCTGGTGTGGCGTTCAAAGACACAGGACCGACATCCAGTCCAAGAGGAGCTTCCTGCACTGAATGAGCTTCAGTTTCCGTGGCAGGAGCTGCAGGGGGAGGAGTCCACTGAGGAGTCCGAGGTACCGGCTGGACGGGAGCAGTGCAGACTGGCTGAGGAGGAACAGGGACGGCATTCTGGAGACGAGACCGCTGAGATTTCTGTTGTGGAGACGGAGACGATTTCTTCTCGACTTCAGCCTAAAACAAAAAGACAGACGTCAGAGTTTAAAGAGCAACCAGAGAGCACCAAGGTCGTCTGTAAAGATTTATTACAAATGTGCACAACTAAAGCACGATGATGTGTTCCTGGAGGCTTGCTCAACTGTTATTGGAGCACAGAGCAAGAAGGGGCGGGGCTTAGAGAGGGTTAGTTATCAGCTGAACTGCTAAGGACTAAAAGGGTTAACCCTTCTAAGGACCTTAAGAGGACATTCGGACTGATTCAGGGAACTCTTAAAATTATCTACTTTACGTTTTTCCTCAGTGTGATTTCCGCAGTTGCCATGGTTACAGGGACCCCAGTACCACATGTCTTATGGCCTGGCAGCTTATTCTGGACCAGGAACCCTCAACAAGATAACCTTTCAGGCTGTGAGCAGCACTGTGATCCACTACTCATTTGATTCTTTTTAAGGTCTAACATTCTCTAGAGTGGTTCCGATACCAGTATCCAACACTCCTCCGATACTGTCTACGCAATTTATTAGCCCCAAAACCGGACCAAGGGTTACCTTGGCTTCTTGCAGAGCTTCGGCCTTCAGACTCAGCTTTCGGATCCTCTTTCCCTTCTCAATAACACCATCACCTGCCCTGCTCAAATACACCCCATTCTGACTGCTGCAAACAGCCTGTTGCTCCACCGTTTGCCTCTTCCCTTTGTTTGGATCCGGGGTGGAGCAAGGTGGGCTGGGGGCAGGACTAGGCTGGCTGGAGGTGGATTCAATAGAAACGTGCTGGTTAGGGGAAGGGGAAGGGGAAGGGGCACCTGTGAGGTTTTGAGGTCCAGTTTGTTGCCGGTCAGAGGTAGAGCAGGTAGATGTGGCGTTCACGGTCACTGGGACCACAGAAATTGGAGGGACATTTGGTATATGTGGAGCAAGAGGTGCAGGTAACGTAGGTCTGCAGGGAGGTGTTGGGGTCAGGCAAGAGGGAGGCACAAGCTGGATGGAGGCAGGGGGATGCTGCTGTTGAGAAAAGAAGACTGCAGGAGGAAATGACATCTGAGGGGGCATCTGAAGGAGAATGCTGGGGCGATTCTGATGAGGCACTGTTGGGTGGTAAGGAAGAGGAGGTTGCTGCAGCAGCATGAGTTGCTGCGGTTGCAGTTGCTGATTGAGCTGCAGTTGTTGCTGCGATTGGCAGTTGCTGAATTGAGGCTGCAGTTGATTGCTGCGGTTGCAAGTGTGCTTGATTGAGCTGCAGTTGTTGCTGTTTCTGTTGCTGCATTTTCTGAAGCTGCGTCAGGATCAGTTTGTGCTGCAGGTCTAGTTCCTCTTTCGCCTCCTTCTGCTGCAGGAGATGTGCAACGCTGTTTGGGATCACTCTCTGGACAGAGAAGCGGTGTGAAGGTGGTGTAAATAATGCCACCTTGTTCTTCCTCTTCTCTATCATCTCCTTACAGCCCACAGAGTCCACATTCATGGTCTGGAGGAGAAGCAGAAAGACGGATGTGGAGGAGAGCAGGGTCTTCTGACCTTGCTCTCTCAGGGCGTCGGCGACCGTCAGTCTGTTTTTTGTCGGGATCAGCAGGTTGCCGATCCACGGAGTCACCGCAGCCTGCAGCTTGTACTCCAGCCATTTGTCTGACACTTGACCCAGGAGGTTCAGGTGGGCTTGGAGCTGGTCAGGTGACACCATCATCATGGTGCTGGTGCTGTGGTGCCGCTCCCACTGCAGCTCTTTGGGAGGTGGGCCGATGATTACGGAGCGTCCGCAATCACCCAGGATGGTCGTCCGGACTGGTGTCGCCTCGTGGGCGTCTCCGGAGGAAGGCAACTCCACCGGGCGAAAGCTCAGGAAGGTGAAACATTGAGCTCTTTCTGTTGGAATCCACTCCTGTATGGGAGAGAAGGTGTACTCGTTTGCTTCCTCCTCCTTCTCCACCTCCTTCTCCTCAACCCTTAATGCTTCCACTACCCCCTTCCGTTTTTTCTCCTCCTCTCCATCAGAGTCTATGAACTCCATCACAAACTCCTCCTCCTCACTGGTCTCCCCCATCTCCTCCTCCTCCTTCACTTTTATTAGTTTCCTGATTCTCTTCTTGACTGGGGCAACCAACTTCTCCTCCTTCTTCTTCTTCTTCTTCCTCTCCTTCTCCTTCAGTCCTTCACAACTCGTTGGTGGTTTTCTAGTTTTCTTTCTTATCTAATGACACAGAAAGCGAATCAGTTAGTTCACTCTGATGAAGACTGTGGATGATATTGGACCTGGTACCAGACCCAGTTGTCCAATAAGTTATTTTTATATCTGCATTGGCAATGAACCCTAAAGGCTAAAACACAGCGCTGCAGAACAGCGTACGTAAAAACAGGCTCTGAATGTTTATGTGTGAGAATATAAACCGGAGTATACTGCATGGATGTTGCACATTGTATGTCGCACATTCCTGCAAACTGTACAGCTCTTCATTCATTTAAATAAC